AATATATTTATTAGAAATAATATTGTGAGAGTACAATCCTATTTGAATAGCATAATCGTAATCATCATTTGTTTTGTCTATTTCTTCATTATTCTGGATATCCTTTATTTTCATCTCACTCATATCCACTTTGTACAAGTACTTAATAACTTCTCTTGCCATAACTTCATTCACTAATTGAACATTAGTTGTAAAATCAATGCTATAATCTTTAAATACTTGAATATCAAGTTGCTTCTCACTCATATTCATATTCTTATTTTCTTATTCTCGTTTTTTATATTCTAGAATTTAAATGAAAATAGAATAAAAGAGTTGAAATAGATAATTAACCTCTCAGTGATACTTTGTAGTTAAATGTGATGTTGAGTGCACAGCCTCGGCAACGAAAAAAAGCAAATAATGGAAAAAGAAGAGAAAGATATAAAAGAATAAAAAGACATAAGAAGTAGAAGGTGATGAAAAATAAAATTATGAAACTAAGAAAAAGTAGAAGAAGATAAAGAGTAATAAAATAGAATAGATAATAAAAGAAGAAATAAAAAGTGTATTTTTAATGTAAAAATTAGAAATATTCAATAATAAGTGTCTAATTTAATTGTGTAAAATGATTAACAATATTTTATTATTGAAAAATATTTTACTCTTTTTTATGTTTATTATTTATGTGTATAATTTAAACATGATGTTTATTATATAATCAATCATATGTGTTATGTTATTATAATATATAATAAAATATAAAATATAAATGAAAATGATATGAATATATGATATAGATAGAATATAAAACAAAAGAATAATAAGAATAAATGATAAATAAAACGAGAAATGATAGTCAATGATATAATAATAAAATCAAAGTATAAAAGATAAATTTAATATTAATATAAATCAAAAGAGAATAAATATAAAATGAAAATAGATATAAATGATAATAATATAAAAATGATAAAGATGAATATTCAAATAATAAAATACATTTAAATATAAAAGAATAACAATAAGAAAATCTAAATAATATAAACATAAAAATAATAAAATAAGAATAATATAATAATATATAGATAATAAGAATAATACAATGATATAAATAATATAAACAGAGAAATAAATATATAAAAATACGATAGATAAATAACATATAAATAAAAGAATATGAATAATAAAAATAAATATGATTCATCAAATAATCTATTTCATTAATATTTCATACAAAATGAATACAATTGATAATAAAATATAAACATAAATATTTATATATTCTGTATTTATCATACTTTTTATTTTTTTATTTGTTAGGAGCAAAATATAATAAATGGAATATTCTATGGATGCAAATTTTTTTGCATCTTTTTTCTTTTTTGTAAATTATTTAGATGCATTTTTTCTTTGCTAATTTTCGTACCCCTTTCATAATTACATTTGTACAACTGATATGACGATAATTAGTGACATCATTCCTATCACCTCCTTTGTTGATTAATAAAATTCTTCAACTTACCATGTCTAATGGGATGTTTTGATTGAAGTTTAACCATTCATTAAAGATATTGAGAATGGCTTCTCTTGATGATGACATCCTTTTCCAATAATACTCATATATAGTGTCTATTCCTGGTGATTTCCAAATTAATTATTTTCATTAAACTTAAATTTAATTCATTTAATGTTATAATGACATTATCATAATTGAAATATCTTTCATTCCACGAGGTGATTTGTTTTATTTTCCAATTTTCTTAATTTAATATCATCTGTGTTTCATATAACGATTTCAAATATTCTAAAGTAATATCGTTATTTGGGTATATTTCATTTTTTGGGTCTTCCTTATTCTAATTTTCTTGTTAGAATCAAGCATGATTTTATTTGTATTGATTCTGATTATTTTATCTTTATTAAATTTAATTCTTTCCTTTATCATTGTCATCATATATTTTAGGTACTTTATTCTTTCTAGTGCTTTAACTTTTATTCCTTCTTCATCATGTTCTTTTAATTTCATGATGCACTTTATTCTGTACCATTTCCTTCCCTTGACCAAATCTTCTAGTCTATTGATTTTCTTTAGGATTTCTTTTATTTCATCAAATTTATCTCCTATTATTTTATTTTGGAGATAAAGGTGCATAATCATTGAAATCCTCTTCATATCATCTTGCAGATCATCCATTCTGCTTCCTGAACATATCAATCTATTATTAATTTCTCTTATTAATTGGTCAGCTTCTTTTCTTTGAAAGTAGTAATTAATATTGATACATTTTCTACTTTCATTTCTTTCACTTTATTGATGAGAGTTTTAAGGTATTCTTCATCAATTTCAGTAGAGTTATTCTTTAATATGATGTTTTTTATTATTGAATTACACTCTACTCTTCCTTCTATTATATCATTTACTTTCACTCTAATGTATCGTTTAGTGGTTTCTTTTATTTTATGTGATATTTTAATATATTTAATATATTCTTTTTCACTATTGACATTGATATTTGTCACTTTTATTATACTTTCTATTTGTTCATTTCTTATTTTCTTGTATAATTTCTTATTTAACCAATTAATTGCAAAACAATACAACACTTCAATTAGAATTCTATTTGTTTGTTCTGTTGTATTTCTTGTCTGACTGTCATCTCTTGTTTTTTGACAATCAGTGCTTTGCTTTCCTCTTCGATTTCCACTACTGTCTTTTTCATAGGAGTAGTTTCGTTCATCTCCATTGTTCCTGATGATGTTTTCCTCAATACTGGTTGTGTATTTATCACAAGTGTCATCGTTTTCTTCTTCTCTATTTCCTTCTGTGAGATAAAATTTTCAATATCATCTTGTTGTTTTGATATGACTTGTTTTTGTGTTTCATTTTCTTTTTGTGTGTTGTCTAATTCTTCTCGTGTTATTTCTGCAATTTCTTGGTTTTTAATTGCAATTTCTTGTTATTCAGAGATTTGTTTTTCTTTATCTCTTATTTCTTTCTTTAATTCTTTAGTATTTTCCTCTATCATTTCAATTTTCTTTTCTAGTGTGTTTGCATTTTGTTCTAGTATCTTGTTTCTCTTTTTCAACTTTTCAATTTCTTCCTTCATTTCTTCATTTTCTTTTTCAATCTTCTTTTTATTAGCTTGGATGCTTCGGATTTTTTCTTCTTTATTATTTACTTCTGTGATTTTCTTTCCTTCTATCTCATTTATTTTTCCTTGTAGTTTTAAGTTTTCTTCTTCTAATTTTTCATTTTCTTTCTTCATTTCTTCATAATTCGTTTGAATCTTTCTATTTTGTGTTTTCATTTCTGTAATTTCTTCTTCAAATTCTTTTTTAACTATTTCTTTTGCTTTTCTCATCATTTCTTCTGAGATGGCTTGTTCTTCTTCCATTCTTTTCATACTTAATTCTTTAACTTTTTCTTTTAATTCAGTAATTTGATTTTTAAGTGCAAGTATTTCTTCTTTAACTTTTTCTTCTTCTATCTTTTCTTCTTTATTTTTTGTTTCTTCTTGTATTTTCTTTATACTTTCTGTTTCATTTATTATTCTTGCTATTTTACATCTATCATTCATTTCTTTGATTGGGTTTTTGTTTTTAATTTCTGCTTCTATAGCCTTAATGTCTTTTTCCTCCCAATCTTTTGTTTTTTCTTTAAACTCTTCTTTAGTTTTTTCAATTATCTTTTTCTTTTTAATTGAATATACTTCTTGAAGAATATCATACCATTTTTTCTTCTTACCTTCATATTTTTTAAGTATTTCTTCGTATTCTCCTTCTTTCCATTCACTTGTTATTCTTTTTATTCTTTCTTGTATCTCTTTTATTG